TTACTTTAAATATATTAATAAATAAAGTTGATTGATAAATAAAACTGATTAAATATGAAACTGTTATAAGTTATATAAAGTAAAACTGACTAAATATAGAAAACCCCTAAAAAGCAGAGCGCACAGTTACTACCTATGACGAAAAACCTTATCTGAAAAACCTCCACTATGTGAAAAACCTCAAAAAGGATATTTTTTGTTTTTTGAAAAAACCTCCCAATAACTAAGAGTGTTCATCGGTTGGAATCCAATGGATCTAAGTGGATTCGATCCGATAAAAACATTTAGGGGTCGTTTACTAAACACTTACTTGGTAAGTGTTTAACGCATAAATTTTCTCATTGGATGAACATGAAAAGGGCCAATAATCTTACCGGGTAAGAGCGATGAAAAAGATGGAGAGTATTACCCGGTAAGTGAGGATGACGACTCTTACCCAGTAAATTGTTGTATTCTATATGTTTTGATATACTAAAATCTTACGCATCAAAATAAATTATAGTGTTAACTCCTATTAATAAGCGCTTACCGGGTAAGCATTTGGGTAAACGGCCCCCTTAGAGCACCTAGAACATATTCCTTCAAAACTTATCTAAAATGGAGAATCAAAACTAAAGATCTTTAAAAATTACATTCATATTCAAGAGATTCTCGATTTTATAGATTACAATATTAATTATATTACTAAAATATTTTATATATGTAATAAAATATTATTTTTTTCTCATAAACACTTAACATCAAAGTTTCTTATTGGTGAGAATACAATAAAACGTTGTTCCTCGTTCCCGGTAATCATTTTTCAAAGAGTTCTCCAAATTCGGAAAAATTTACACTTTCTTCATTTTGGAGAGAGTATTGAAAAGCTTGTCTGCGCAACATTTTGTTCACAGTCCTTATTTTCTCAGTTCTGTAGAATCTGTTGAAGATGCTAACAACTCTAACATATTATCCAAAATAAAAAAAGTGAGGTTTTAAGAATTTTATGCTAATTTTTTGCTCCAATAGATTTTTCAGAACATTATCCAAAACTAGAGAAAGTGAGGGAGATACAGTAAAATCCTCTAAATTTGAAAATTTTGCAAAATGATTGTTATGAGATAAGCGATTTTTTATTATTTCTAGCAAATGAAAATCGTTGAAATCAAATGTGTAGGAAAACGAAATATTAAATGCATTAAGTATTTTAATAATATAATTAATGTTGTAATCTCTAAAATATAAAAGTTGTTTAAGTTGAACGTATATATATATATATATATATTTTAATATATAATCTTTTATTTTATATTTTGAATAACACGTTGGAGTTAAGGTGTGGACGACAGGCTGTGTGATAACCAGATCCTGGTTATTACCCAAGGTAAATTATATGTGATTATTTGATAAAATGATTACGTGATAGCATGATAAATTGATACGTGCTAGTATGTGCAGAATGTGATTTTGTGCATAAAATAATATGTGCATTTAGAAGTATATATATATAT